TCCTTTTCCTTCCCTTTCCTTCCCTTTCCTTTTGTCTTTCAGCTTTCAAAGGCTGTGCCCATGTGTTTCTAAGAGTCTGGGGTGCATCCGTGACATATTCTGCATGGCTACAGCACCAATGAAAACCACAGACTAGAAACATGTGAGTCAAAATCAAGTGCCCATTTTGAAACAATCTCCTGATCTTTTGATTCTTCTGGACAAGTTATGACTAGGGACACATCAGTCTGTCTCCAGCTTACCTCCAGTACTTATTTCCAGTAAAAAAGAGAGTTTTTCCAGTGTCTTTAATATGGACAGCTGCATCTATTCTTTTCATTTCTTTTGGAAATCCCATTTCATATATCTTTTTAGGAAAGTCTTCAACTATGTCATAACCATTCAAAGCCCAGACTTTCTTTCCTGAAAATAAAACCAAAGTATGGATGAGTTTCTTGTTAAGGCTCAGCTTTGAGAGCAGAATAAAATGAGGATGCCATGATCCTTATTTTCATACAACTAACAGATTCTTAGGTCACGTACTCAGCAGATGTTACACTATTCGTGCTAACTATGATCCCAGGCATCTAAGCTTAATTGTTCGTCTCCTAATCCACTGAAAATTGTATAGATTTGCACAGTGTGAAACCAACAGAGTTTATTTTTTGAGCAAGGAAGGTAGCGAGTTTTGGTTTTCTATCGATTACCTTTAAATCACTTAAAGAGCTTGATTAAATACATATAATTCTTTGCCAATAACAAAACTGAAAACTCACCCTTAAACATGAATACAAGATCTTTGATGGGATTTTCATAAGCTGCATCTATTTTATTTGGAAGCTCTGGCCAAAAGGACTTAAGTAATACCAGTTCTGCCTCAACCATCTGAGGGTGCAGTCGCCAGAAAAACCTATTTCACAAAAAGAAAAAAATATTCTATGTTTCTTGTCATACTACAGAATAGCTCATAGTCATAGTATAGTACTATACTGGAAATTAGTTCACAGAATCACAGAATCACAGAATCACAGAATTACAGAGTGTTAGGGGTTGGAAGAAACCTTGAAAGATCATCTAGTCCAACCCCCCTGCCAGAGCAGGATCACCTACAGTAGGTCACACAGGAACGTGTCCAGGTGGGTTTTGAATGTCTCCAGAGAAGGAGACTCCACAACCTCCCTGGGCAGCTTGTGCCAGTGCTCTGTCACCCTCACAGTGAAATAGTTTTTCCTAATGTTGTTGGGGAACCTCCTCTGCTCCAGCTTGTACCCATTGCCCCTTGTCCTGTCATTGGACATCACTGAAAAGAGCCTGGCTCCGTCCTCCTGACACTCCCCCTTGACATATTCATAAACATGAATGAGGTCACCCCTCAGCCTCCTCTTCTCCAGGCTAAAGAGACCCAGCTCCTTCAGCCTTTCCTCATTAGGGAGATGTTCCACTCCCTTCATCATCTTTGTGGCTCTCCCTTGGATTCTTTCAAGCAGTTCCCTAATGCAGAATATTTTTTTCATAACAGAATTTTCAACACATAGAGCCCCTTGTAGACCTTTCGTTTCCTCATAGTCACCTAGCCGCAGACCATTTCTGTCATTCGCACAGTGATCATCTCAAAAAACAGCAAACGTGAATCTTTTTATCATTTAGAGTAAGAGAAACACTGCTGTCCCATGGAAGGCTTCTGAATGTAGTACAACTTAATTCAAATAAATGTTAGTAGATGTGTGCATGTTGAAGAAAGTCTTGTGAAAAAAAAAAGCGTACAAATCATGTCAGTCTTCAGCCATATCATCCTCACTTCATATTATGGGGCAGTCAACTCTGTAACTGTATTACAAATCCTGGCTAAAAAGATATATGATGTAGTTTCTTAGAGGCATCTACATTGATTTGAGGGTTTATGTTTACTCAAATAAGAAACTTAAAGGGTGTTTTCACTTCCTCAAATTTTATCCAGTACCCACTATCCATGGCATGGCAGTCTCTTTACCTGTCCTTGAAGACCAGCATTTCTCCACGAAGTTCTGTTATTGCATCAAGTGATAAATTTGCATCACATTTTTCTGGTGTTTTGGGATGTTTTGGGTTCGGATCTTTGTCTCCAGCACCTGGAATCATATTATATAATCTAAGTCTGACAACATTCATTTCCTTTCTGTGGATCATGATAGTGAATAGGACATGAAAGAGTTCCCAAATGGCATAATGAATATAATCATAATGGGCAAACCATTTGTACTGGGGACAGTCTGTTCTCTCTTTCTCTCCTTTAAATAGAAACGTTCATGGACTTTACAGTTCAGCTGTGTTGCAAAGATGTTAAATGGATTTGCTTTCTTTATGCCAAGTTTTGAATGTCCCCCAAAAGTTTTATTCTTTCTGTGATGAAACATAGATACTTCTGTTTCTCGCTTTAAACTCTGGTTTACCTTCTCTTTTGAGGAAAATCAAAAAGTGTAAAGACTCTGCTCCCACTAAGGGACAGCACAGTGACCAACTCTCCTCGGAAGTGTTCCTTCCTTTTTTTCCCCCTCTCTGAACTATTAAATCTAAGCATCTTCTATTCCTGAAGTCTGGTTGCCAAGAATCCAGTGAATCAGTCTGAATCAGTCTTAATCAGTCAAGATCGTTGCTATTGAACATCTGCAGCTCTTTAGTAACTCTGCAGTGAATCTGTAACAGGTTATAATGACACAGGAAGTACATATTATACATTATATACTCTTACCATAGAGCTCCTGGATCCCTTGCACATCATCATCAGGAAGCACAAAACCATTTTTTCCAGTGTATGTGTAAATTGGAAACATCAGAGCTCCAGGATCTCTGGAGTGTTCAAGTCCCAGTGAATGACCAAATTCGTGGGCAGCAACGAGAAACAAGTTATACCCTATAATGAAACAGAGTAGAAGTAAATGTGTGGCATCTTGTATCACCAAAGTGGACTCGGACGTATCAGCTAACCTCTACACTGTGCCTTGGCATATGGGACAATTAAGGAGACAACTTGGTAAATGGAAAAAACTACATGTAATTGCTTGTCTTTTTAAAAATGCCATGAGTTTTGATTTAATAAGGTCTTCACTGATTGAGTATCTCATAGCTGGTGTTCAACCTAAATCTTACTTGACAATGCTGATCTGTAGGCGGATTTCTATTTCTTGATATTTCTTAGAAACACTGGAAAACTCTAGAGTGAAATCTTAGCCCTAATGAAATCAAGAGCAATTTCTGTTGGGAATTCACCTCAAGCAGGGATTCTGTATTGTCTTCAATACTGCAGAAACTAGTTTTAATACCAGGAGGGTGAAATAACAATGCTAAAAAATAGTGGATTTTTTCTGTTAAAGCTCTGTCCTGAATAGACTAAGTGAAATGCAGGTAGATGATTTGCAGCTGAGTTATAGATATGTGCTTTCTGTAGGCTTCAGCAAGGGAATTCCTATCAGCCTGTGATCAGAATTAGCTGCCCTTGAGCTCAGCAAAATGCTAAGATGACACAACATTTTGTTTGTATTGTTTTTTTTAATCACTTCACTTAGGAGGTGCATATCTTAAAATTGATGCTTGGCATGTGTTATGCTTCCATTTATGATTGGAGGCTAAAGCCACCTTCCTATGAATAGACAGTGAACATAATGATGAAACAGTAAACAGGCAAAATAAACTATTTACAAATATCAAATAGGGCAGAATTGTCCATCTATCTCCACTTCAATTAATCTCAGGAACTTCTGTTACCTCTAGAATCATCTGACCAAGCTTCATCATCATCAAAATGGGCATCTCCTCCGTAGTCTGGACCGGGGGGAAAAGCATGAGCCAGTAATCCAGAGGGTCCATCAAAGGGGTAAAAGTCTCCATGTTCTATAAAACACCATTCAGAACAATTAAATCAATTATCTTATTGACAGCAATACAATTATGAAGTAAAAATAGCTTGTTCTGTGTTACCTTTAGTGCCAAAGGAGATCATGATATCAGCTGTACCACTTCGTATTCTGGTGAAGTTAAGTGGTGTCACATCAGACCAAACTTTGAATGCTTTTTTGAAAGCTCTATCTACTTCAGCACGTCTCAAATCTGTCGTGTAATTCATAATTCTGTCAAACAGATTAACATCTCCAGTTAAATTGTGTGAATTGAAGAAAATGCATAATGCACTTTTATCTGACTACCCCTCACTGAAGTTTTTGCTTTCTTCCTCCCTTTGTTCCCATCTAAAACCAAAGAGCTTGGCAGCTGAACACGGTATTCAATAAAATAAAAATAAACATTCCTATTACATTAAAATAATTCAGAAACATCTGAAATGACCCAACAATTTTCTGTAACTGGTTTTATATGCACCAGAAGATATAGAATATGACAGATATACTCTGTATTCAAAGTCAAATTAGTAGCTTCAAACTTTTTTTATGTCCTATAAAATAGCTCATGATTCTCACTTCCCAGAGGAGGTAAATGTGATCCAAAGAGCTTTATATAGGCTAGAATCATCCATATTAAAGTAATATTTATCACCAGATGCTGAACTGATAGTGATTTCCTATTTGGAATCTGCTAAAGGACCTCAGGTTGCACCTGGTTAAAACCTCCTGTTGACGACCTTGTGGTTTTAAGGGAGAAGGAGATATCACGTGACCTTTTAGCACCGTAGCTTCCCAAGGTCAACTTTCTGAGGTCATGGGGGGCGAAATCCAAGAACAGATATCTACATCTGGACTGCGAAATGGAAGGGGAACAAGGATCAGTCCCTGCTCTCACAGCCACATTGCACAGAGTGTTTGCATCTGCTTTCCTGGACAAGACCTCCGTGAAGCAGACACTAAGCCAGGTCCAAAGTATAGCTAAGAAGTGACCTACAGATTAAGTGCTGTGAGGATGAGTAGTGAGGTGCACAATCTTAGACCCTATCCCTCATTTTTTTCGGCACCATGGATGTGCCCAGAATGTCTACAAGGAGGCCACATGAGGAGTTACTAGCTTACAGCTCACCAGCTTTCCTCCATGACAAAGTGAAATAGAAAAAGGTCATATTTACTTCCTTGGGCTGTAAGGTGGGCTTGGGGGACCTTTCCAAAAGTGGACCTGTAAGGATTTTAAACTGCGACATGAATTTTGTCAATCTCAAATGCATCTTTCTTACATCAACTTCATATACCGGGCAACCTATTGGACAAGGTACCTAAAAAGAGGATAATAATAGTCATAACACTCCAAAAGCAATTTACCTGTATGTCAAATTAGTTTTTGACCATTTGAGTTTTCTAGGGAAAAAGTTATACTCCCCCACATCTGGAACACCACATCTTGGTTTCTGCATAAGCTCATATGTTTCTTCATCTAATTTGCCTGTCACTTCCAAGCCAAAAAAAGCTTGCATTTCTCGAAGTTTAGATGCCACTGTGTTGGCACGCTTCCTCATTATGCCCGCAGGATTTGGACGGAGATCATAGTGAGTCCTGAGATAGCGCTAAGAACGAGAGAAAAAAAGTAATAAGTCTAGTTTGCAAACAGTTGTAATTACACGACTTACTATTCATAAAACATGCAAGTGAAATATTTTATACTGTACCTCTGCAAACTGAAGGTCTTTCTCTGTGAATTCATGGCTGTCTTCAAGGGGAATAGGGATTGTCAGGCAAAATGACAAACTCAACAAGAAAAAGAAGACAGCTGAAAGCCTTGATTGCATCATGTTGGATTTGTGAAGTCTGAAGCCCTGATGTTTTAGAGAGCAGTTACCTTTACTTTTATAGTCCCAAGCCAGTGAGTCACCACTTAGGGACAAGTTAGAACTTCCTTGTTGCTGAAAGTAAACATGCTTAGACGGCTGCTTTTTCTCTCCTCCCCAACACTGTGGTTTAGGCATCTGTTGCCCCAGTGAGCGTTCTGAAACCGTATCCTCGTATAAACACAGAGGCTGTGGGGAGGAACGGGCAGAAGCCAACCGCACTTTTTGAGTGTTTCACAATAACTTACACCAGCAATAACTGGCAATAACTTTGCAATAACTTACTCTGATAGAAAAACTGTCTTTCTATTATTTGATAGACAATAGAAATATATAACAAGTTTTGTGATTTTTATAAATAAATTCTGTAATTTTTCTGCAATTACACTAGTTCAACAGAAATTTTTAACTGTTGGACTAGATCATACACACTCCAACTATTAATAAATATTGCCTTGGCTGATAAGACATTGTAAATATTATACAATAAACATTATACAAGAGGATGTTACATTTCCCTATATATATATAACTAAAAAGCATTAACACAAATTTTCTTTTAGATCTTCAAAGTGACTTCCTATCTACCTTTCAGAATAATTTAATGCTTGAGATTAGGCAAAACCAGAAATGTTAACTATCAGGAAATAGTTTTGAATGTTTAAAAATATTTTTATTAGGATTAAAGCAGGTCACGTGTACAATAACTAGTTCATGCTGTTTATCTTCCTCAAAAAATATGAATATAATTTACTTTATGAGTGGAGCACAGCCACAGATCAAGACAGTTGCTACTCTAAGAGAGGCAGTCTACTAGCTACAGCTAGGTAACGAATTTGTATGTCTAGAATGACAGAAATATGTGACTTTGAATTACAAGGTGGGTAGTAGGGTAAATCTGGAATCATGGCAGAAATGGGCATTATTATACTCCAAAGGTTAAAGATGATCTCTGTCTCCCTAGGGTCACTCCAATCTCAGGTGCTGCTACCACATGCCCATAAGCGCAGGTCCAAGGGGAGGTGCTGTTTCTGCTGAATCCACCTTCCTCTTTCACGGAGGCTGTTCTTGTATGGAAAACCTCAGGCAACTTCCTAGCAGCCACTGGTATACTCTTTCTGGGACATACCATCCTGCCATGGATGTTGCCTTGTTGACAAAACAGGAAAAGGACAAACTCAGTGAAGCTGAATGTGTAAAATCTCAGTTTGTTACTCAAACAATACTCGCCTTCTCTCCTATGATGACAAACAGCAAAAGCAAATAAAGCTGGGGAATTTTTTTTTGTCAGCTATTTCTGCCTCGCTGCCCATCTCAGACAGTGCTAAATATGGTTATGCCAATTAGGGACAGACAACATCTTTTCAGACTGTTTGTATATTTTCCTTAACATTGTTCATTACCAGCACTGAGATATTTGCATTAAGCAACGGTGGCATAAAGACTGTTAATTATCCCACCTTCTTTAGAAGTGCACTCCCCAAAAGTGCTTCAGGACAAACACTGAATCCATACTGCTGATGTTCTCGCTGCGCTGCACCCTCGTTAATGCAGACCGACAGATTATGTAAAAGTCTTATTTCTTTCCTTCTGACATCTCTGTATTGACATTTGCAGCATTGCTTTCATTAATGTTGGGGTACTCAATTACGCAGTAAGCAGAGCTTACAGTGAATTTTGCTTGCTTTGTGTGGACCTTAGGAGCAGTGGTGCTGCCTTGTCAAGGTTTTTGTGGCAGCAAGGAACACTTTCTTGAGACCGTGAAGCTTTGAGTGTCACTGGCTTGCAGAACAGTAACAGACAGATCTCAGAAATCCACAAGAAAAATGAATAGCTTAAAACTCCACAGGTAATATTCCTGTGAATTCCAAATTCTCTGAAATTAACTTTCTTGTGCCTAAGAGAGAATAATTGTATATAACCATTTGTATGTCACTGCTTTTTGCCAGATTTAACAAAAAGGGTTTTATTCTGTGTCAGGCCCTTTCTCAGCTCTGATGTTGGTATTTTTGCTTCTGAAATAAAAGAAACTGATTTCCTCACCAACCATTACTGCGAAACCCTTATCAATCCATCACATTTCATGAAAGAATAATTAGAAACTAAGTGGTTTCCGGGTTGCCTTAATAAATATAGTTTAGCTAATTGTTAATTAAAGGTGAAACCAAGTAATCAGAAACAGTATTTGAATGATATAAATGTAGAAAAGAAAAACAAATATCGAGTTGGGCACAAAAGTTGAGAACAGTGTTAGCCTATCAAACAACGCTCCAGGGACATGTGGAGCCCTGTTCTTCAATTGAAATTGATTTCTGAAACACTGCATGCAATGAGCCACCTGAGAATGGACTATGGCTGCATTGTGGTTTCTGCACGTTCAGGTGATTCCTTTGGGAGCCCTGGCCATGTAAATATACATGATCCAATATGTTTTCTTACACATTTTATCACTATTTATACTACACCAATGGCTGGAAACTGGATTTTTATATCCTCCACACACAAACTGAAGAAACACCGGTGAAGGACTGTGCAAACAAGCACATAAAAGGGCCAGTCAAAATGAACAGTATTCCCTCTTTTTCTGAAATAACATCTCAGATATAGTGTGTAATTTTTTTAAGGGGAGACAAAAAGTTTTGAAAGAGCTGGAAACCAAGTACAGACCTCTGAAGTTGCTGTTTATTACCCTAAAGCATTGACTGTTTAATGCCTCAAGCAAGTAAAGTTTTTAAAGTTGGCAATGATGAAATACAATGTCCAAGCCTGCCATTGCTGGGCTCTGTAAGATATACAATCTATGGCTCAGGCTCAAGTGATGCCACTGTCTGAGTTTGAAAAACAAAAAAAGAGTAAAAAAACTGTGAAGAGAGATGTGAATGAAGGTAAAAGCAGCCAGCAGTGGTTCACAGACCTTGTGTTGACCCCAGTGCAAACAAGCAAGCACAGAAAGTTGCATTGTAAAAGCACTGAAACCCACAAAATTGCTGAATAGCAAGATTTCAACAAGCACTGCAAAATTTCTGCAGTTCTGGCACCTTGTGAGTGTGGGTAAAGTTAGCTGGACTGACGGTAATTTTCACAGGCATAGAACAGACTGGAACAATCACGCTGGTTTTCCCCCCTCAGGGAGGAATGGATAAAGAGGGTTGGGAGATGTAGCAAGAAGAAATTAAGAGCAGCACTTAGGTACTAATTATTTGAAAGCAAGAATCATGTCAACCATATGGTTTCAACACATATTTTGTTACTGCAAATAATTGAAAGGTCTTATGTTTTGATTTACTTTCTGTGTTTGGTGCCCAAAATAGCACTATATAGTGAACATGGTGAATGATCCGTGACCCTGAAGCAGCAGACACTTCACTTAAGACAAATAAACAAAAGTCAGTGGGTCGGTTTGTTAATGTTCCTTACTGCAGGTTGTATTTCAAGTGGAACATCTCCAGTGCCTAGGGCTAGCTCAGCTTCCTCTGGGAAGAAGGATGGTATTCTGAGGTTCTCTGGGCAGCTGGGTAAATGGAGTCCCAGGGTAGTTAAAACTCAGACTCTGGCTCTGCCTCTCCAGGTGAGACTCCATCCATGGGACCTGTTACAAGAAGTGGGTCAAAGACAACTGAGAATGGTTTCCACGTGCAGCCCTTCAGCTGAGATACCAAGGGATATTACATCAACCTGCTTTTATTAAACAGCAGCATCCCTGTGCCTTTTGCTGGCAAAAATAAAATGACAAAATTGGGCTCAGCAGGGTCCAGTGCCAGAAGGAAGAAACATATAAATGTGTTTGCAAGAGCCGAAAGTCTTGTCTGAATGGATACAAGCTGGAACATAGCAGGTTCCACAAAAACATTAGGAAAAATTTTTTCACTGTGAGCGTGACAGAGCACTGGCACAGGCTGCCCAGGGAGGTTGTGGAGTCTCCTTCTCTGGAGACATTCAAAACAGACCTGGACACGTTCCTGTGTGACCTACTGTAGGCGATCCTGCTCTGGCAGGGGGGCTGCACTAGATGATCTTTTGACGTCCCTTCCAACCCCTGACACTCTGTGATTCTGTGATATGGAGGGCACTGGGGTTTTGCTGCCTTTCTGCCTACAGCACAGCACCTGCATCACCTTGGCAGGACCTGGGGGCTGCTTCCACACTGGGAGCTGCTGACCAGCACTACCTTTCTTCTGTACTCACTGAACTCCAAGGGAAGATTCAGCTGTTGTTTAAAAGAACTAAATTTAGGCACCTTCCTGGGTGCTGGGTGTCTAAACTGTCTTTATAAACAAAACTAAACCCTGATGGCAGTCCAGCTTACACTGAGGTAGACACCTTGGGATTATTTCAGCTGCCTGCATACAGATGTACAATGTTGTCTGAAGGACAGAGAGCTCTCATCAGCCCTGTGTCATATGGCACTGATGCCTTTCTTCAGGCTGCTGTGCTGAGTCCCGCACAGCTGGGCTCTGCTGACTGTCGTGGAGACCATCATCTGGTGCAGAGACACTTCAGTTTGGGTGACCTATAGCTATGCTTCAGGCCCATTTTCTGCTGATGCCTGGACAAACCAGGAGCCATCAAGTTGCAGAGGTTTGTTGTGTTGCTGTGTGAGGTGGCAGCTCTGCGGCTGGAAGTCAGCCGGGCACTGTGCAGCCCCCACCAGGACAGCGCTCCTGCTCACAGCTCCATCTAGCCTTGGAGGAATCCTGCTGATACCCAAGCTGAAAGAGAGAAAAGGCCTCAAAGAGGTACAAGAACTCGAGTTTTCTCTGTTCAGACAACTCCGATGTGGGTAGAAACTCACTGGATTTAGGAAAACTGCAGAGAAGTGAGCGTGCCCCAGTCAGCTGCTTCACGCTAAGAGCAGCTGCCAGCTCCCAGGGAGGTGAGACCACGCTCTGCTCCCCCTGACCACTCTGAACACTCTCCAGGACTGGAACTTTCTTACAGTTTTGGCCTAACCATTCTATATGAGC